TCAAAGCTTAGTAAAAAGTATATTATAATATAGCAAAAGGTTATATACAGATTTAGAAAAGGAGCATCAAAATTTAGAAAGCTATCAAAATTAACAAAAAAAAGGATATACAGAAATTTAGAAAAAGAGGACATACACAAATGTCGATAAAGTATACACAACATTAGACCAAAAATAATAGAAAAAAAGGTGACTGAAAAGGCAGATCTCAAATGCTAAAAAAGAGCAAATTACGAGTATACTTGGACACGTAGGGAGGCCAGGGTCGGGCCAAGAGCTGAGGGACGACCATCTGTGTAGAGGGAGAAGATAGATAGATGGTTAGCTAGCAAGAGGGAAGAGCAAACCATAGAAGGCTATCTACCTAAGAGGCAGGAGGCAGCCCACAGGTCCTATATATATATATATATATATATATATATATATATATATATATATATATATATATATATATATATATATATATATATATATATGTGTAGATGTCTGGTTTCCAATTGACAGGTAAGGAGATGGAAGTTCAGGTGAGGAGTTAGAGTGATATGTAGATGGAGAATTGCCAAGATGGAGAGCCAGACTCCGGCTAAGATAAGTGAGGTTAAGTCTGACGGTAAAGACCAACGCTTGGGGTGAGTGATGCTGAGTAAGAGCAAGGCTAAGTCTTTTTTCAAGTCTGCAATCTTTTCCAAGTCTTAACAGGTCAAAGGGTGAAGTAAGAATGGGGTAAAAGGGCTAAGATAAGAACCTAGAGGATACAAAACAGACTTGTGATTCAGTCTTAAGACTCATTTAAGCTTCTAAGTCTAAGTGGGACATGGGGTAGAGAGAAGGAAATGAAAAAAATATTGAAAAATTATGCTTGAGGAAAGTCTAAACTTGAAGTTTGGAACTACGTTGTTATTTAAAGACTAGGGGCTAGATTAAGGCTGAAACTAGGGAAAGGAAGTTTTGGACTTCTTGTTTGATAAGTCCAGATGAAACTATGACTTGACGAAGGGAGTGTGTAGGCCATCCTAAGTGTGTGTGTGTGTGTGTGTGTGTGTGTGTGTGTGTGTGTGTGTGTGTGTGTGTGTGTGTGTGTGTGTGTGTGTGTGTGTGTGTGAGAGAGAGAGAGAGGAGATTAGTTAGTATTTAGTAACAGTTGATTGAGAGTTGAGAGGCGGGCCGAAAGAGCAAAGCTCAACCCCCGCAAGCACAACTAGGTAAATACATCTAGGTGAACACACACACACACACACACACACACACACACACACACACACACACACACACACACACACACCTGTCCAAGATGGCCGCAAGTCGAGGAGGACGAAATAGCTCAATACCTGAGATTAGACTTTTCAAAATGCAAACTCTGGTGACCAACATTTAAACGAGTTTAGGCAAAAGTTGTGTTACATTCTTGGGCTTAAAGACCAGAACATTACGACCGCCCTGTCACAGGACCAAGAACATTATATATATATAAACTCACTTTCCTTGAAAGGAAATACGAGCCTAATTTGCATATCAGGAACATTCAGATAAGCTCAAGATTTAGTTACACTCTGGGTGGGGGGGTTTGCGATGACAACTCCGCGCCATTCGGCCTGTTTAAACTCCCCAACGCCGTAATGGTCCAATTACGAAGCCATTTGGGCATTAATATTAGTTAGTGATGTGGGAGGCAGTTTGATAGGTTGTTACAACGGGGCCCAGGCAGCCAGGAGTGGTTATAGGAGCTTCTAAATCATACTTGTCGTCTCTCTGGCTTAATGCTGAGGTACCCCTACGTAGAGAGAGGGAGAGAGGGAGGGAGAGAGAGGGAGGGAGAGAGAGGGAGGGAGAGAAGGAGAGAGGGAGAGAACTCACCTGATATATACAAACGTGATACTGAGAGGGGAAAGTATGTCAATAATTAGTGTTGGCAATGTTCTCTTATGAGGACATATTGATCTGATGGGCAGTGAGGGGACATGATCTGAGGGGCAGTGAGGGGACATGATCTGAGGGGCAGTGAGGGGACATGATCTGAGGGGCAGTGAGGGGACATGATCTGAGGGGCAGTGAGGGGACTTGATCTGAGGGGCAGTAAGGGGACTTGATCTGAGGGGGCAGTGAGGGGGGGACTTGATCTGATGGGCAGTGAGGGGACACTTGATCTGATAAGCAGTGAGAGGACTTGATCTGAAGGCCAGTGAGGGGGGACTTGATCTAAGGGACAGCGAGGGTGTTGACCCAATGGAAGGGGGAGCAAGTGTTGACCTAAAGAGGGGGAACATGTTGTGGAGCAAGTGAGAGCATGTTGACCTGAGGGGAGCAGGAACATGCTTGTCCGAGAGGGGAAAATGAGAGTATTGATCGAGAGGATTTAACTGAGACAAATGCTCTCTGTTTTACCGCCAAGAAATCGAACACAAGTTTCGAACAGCTCCCAAACTTTGCTTTCCAACGGGACGGAGCCGTCGTGTTGAGTAATGGCATCATCCGTTATCACTGATAACGGCTATCATCCCGCCAGTGAGGGGGGGGGGGTCCCGTAGCACAGTGGTCTACAGACTCGGTTCACAACCGGGTGACCCCGATTGGAAATCCCAGGGCGGGTTAAAACACTTTGGCTTACTTTGTGCGCATGCTGGGGGGGGGGGGGATGGGCACGTTTCCTTTTACCTGATGCACCTATTCACCTATAGCGTGAGCTACGAAGCTGTTGCGGGTGGCATCTCTGGGGAGGTCAGCACTTTTCCCAGGGGACGGGTTCTAGATAAGCCCAGGTACAGGCTTCCTGTTCCAGACAACTTATGTTAAATAACCCTCATGTACCCCCACTGCAGTGGCCCACACCCACACCTGCAGTGGCCCTACACCTGCAGTGGCCCACACCCACACCTGCAGTGGCCCACACCCACACCTGCAGTGGCCCTACACCTGCAGTGGCCCACACCCACACCTGCAGTGGCCCACACCCACACCTGCAGTGGCCCACACCCACACCTGCAGTGGCCCACACCCACACCTGCAGTAGCCCACACCCACACCTGCAGTGGCCCACACCCACACCTGCAGTGGCCCACACCCACACCTGCAGTGGCCCACACCCACACCTGCAGTGGCCCACACCCACACCTGCAGTGGCCCTACACCTGCAGTGGCCCACACCCACACAGGCACACACCAGTGCCTCGCCCCTCCTACCAAAACTGCATGTAAATATTGCTCAATAAAAACACAAAGTCCCACTAGGCCCAGTAACTCTGCCTCTCCAAAAACAACCTTTTAGTTATTGCTTTAAAGAAAAAAAAGAGTTATAAAAGCCACCAAAAGCACCAGCCACATTGTCGAGTCGAAATATTCACCGTTCGCAAGTGCCATGATTTGGTTTCAATACAGTTTCGAGAATTTCATCTTGGCCTTAAAGCCTATATCAACCTCTGGAGAGAGAGAATTATCAAAGTAAAGCACTAAGCCATTACGACTATGTAGCACTTGGAAGGGGTCAGGATAAGGATTTGGGATGGGACGGTGGGTAAGGAATGGTGCCCTAGCACTTGTGGACAGTCGGGGATTGAACGCCGAACTGCATGAAGCCAGACCGTCGCTCTACCGTCCAACCCAAGTCCCCTCTGGAGTGTCATCAAGGCAGTCAAAACAACTGACTAACCTGGACGTTTGGTGTAGGAGGGCTGGTCGAGGACCGGGCCACGGGGATGCTAAGCCCCGAAACCATCTCAAGGTGGTACTTGAAGCCTAACAACCTCTGGAGGGTTATTAAGGCAGCCACACTAGCCTACTGGCCATCTAACTACTACATATCTACGTCAGGCAGCTCATCCTCCAGTTTTGGCAGCACTTATAGTACTTATACCATAGTACAAATACCAACTTACTACGCAACTAGAAAGTACAAATCCGTACTATTGAATTTGGACAAACCGGAAAACGATTTTCTACTTATGTGTCAAAGACGAACTAAATTAACCTAACCTAACCTTCTTAGGCCTAATACACGATATCTGAGACCTAATATAGTACATATATGTACTATATACTAGGCCTAGGAATATATAAGCTTTTAGCTTCAGTTTTTTGGACTATGAAATGAATAGTACAAAATTCGACTATCTAATCGCTTAATATGTCAATCTTTGTACTATGGTGCATATAGTTACAAAAAATTACTAATAAACAGGAGGCTAGTTTAACTTCAGCGGTGAATATAATCCAAGACTATACAAACCTCTCGGTATATATACACCCAGAAATGGGATGTATATACACTGAGACGTATATCCATACACCATATATATATATATATATATATATATATATATATATATATATATATATATATATATATATATATATATATATATATATGTCCCTGTGAACCAATCGTGAATGAGGGGTTTGATTGGCAATTAACGTTGATTAACAGGAATTGGAGGCGACATGTTATTGATGTGGTTAGTAGTTTGGCTGCCGAGATGGTTTGGTGTCCGCTTAGGCACCACATCTGCCAGGGTGCCTGGCCAAACCTGCCAGGGTGCCTGGCCAAACCTGCCATAGTGCCTGGCCACACCTGCCAGGGTGCCTGGCCACACCTGCCAGGGTGCCTGGCCAAACCTGCCATAGTGCCTGGCCACACCTGCCAGGGTGCCTGGCCAAACCTGCCATAGTGCCTGGCCACACCTGCCAGGGTGCCTGGCCACACCTGCCAGGGTGCCTGGCCAAACCTGCCATGATAACTAAGTGCAGGAAGCTAAAAAAAATACTTCACACCTTAATGTCCACATTTCTCCTCATAGTAGCAAGTTTTGCAGCTTCGTCTGCAATGTCATTTCCTATTATTCCCACATGATGGGATTATCGTTAACAAACGCCTAGACTAACAACAAAACAGGCCTAATTTAGTGGCAAACTAGACCCAAGTGAGCACAAGAGTACTAGTTAGAGCAACCTAACAAGCGGGTGTGTTAGTTAAGCAAGAAGTGCCATACAGAAAACATAAATGGTCAAACCTTTGCAGAGACTGTCCTTCTCATTTGATCCAGCTGGAAAAAGAAAACGGGAAGTTATGTTAGAGGGGAAACAACAGAAATATGGGGTCCTCCTTGCCTCGTTATCCCCCTCCCAGGACGAACAGTGTCTTAGGGAGAGGCTGTTCTCAGTGACTACCTCCTTCGTCCTGGGAGGAAAATGATATAGGAGGAAGTAAGAATTTTATAAACTTAGTATAACTAGTTTCTACAAAATTATATATATATATATATATATATATATATATATATATATATATATATATATATATATATATATATATATATATATATATATATATATATACAGAGGGGAAATGCGCACTGCATCCAGGGTTCCTGCCCGCCATCTGAGGAGCTGGAGGAACTCGACAACCTATGACAACCATCTTTGTAACCCATATGTAACTCCTTTTTTGTAACAAAGTTCAAATAAAGTAAATATATATGTGTACATACAAAAGAATGGGGGTGGTAGGAGAAGATAATATTAGTGTTCAGTGAGAAGCCACAAGGTCTCCTCTGAATACTTTTTATTTTCTTCTCCGAGGCTATGGGTCCCCACATTGGCACCAGAGGTGGTACCCTCACAAAATAAAAAAAAAAAAAAATATATATATATATATATATATATATATATATATATATATATATATATATATATATATATATGTCGTGCCTAATAGCCAGAATGCACTAATTGGCCTAGTATGCAAGGCCCGATTATCTACTATTCAGAGAGAGAGAGAGAGAGAGAGAGAGAGAGAGAGAGAGAGAGAGAGAGAGAGAGAGAGAGAGAGAGAGAGAGAGAGAGAGAGAGATAAGAGAGATAAGAGAGATAAGAGAGAGTTAAACCGTTTGACCAATCAAAATGTGTAAATTTAATATACCTGAAAAAAACATTTTTTTCAAATTCTCAAGAATTTACATTTACAATGATTAACTTCAGGGAATGAAAGCCAGTTTAGAAATGTAAACAAATTGGTAAATAAAGCCCATTTAGGGACTGAAAATACCCAGTTAAAGAATGGATACCAATTAAGAAATGAACCACCCATTTAAGGGGCTAATGGCCAATTAGAAAACACAGGACAGTTTGGTAATGTACAAGATAATTGTGTTCATTTACCAGGCGGCAGTTTAAGTGGGGAAAAAAATCTGCCTTTTCTGAAAGTTTAATGCTGAATTCCCACGCAAACACCTGCCTTTATCTGACAGGTGTTTGACTCCCGGAGTTATTTCTGGCACGATTAAATGAACTACTGGATGAACTGGATTAAAGGACCCGAGAGCCATGAGGGCACTACGAGAGTCAACAACAACACAAAGGAAGACTGACAACGAGAAAGCAGGAGACGAAGAGCATAGAGAGCATAAAGTTCCGCTGTAAAGATGCTAGTCCGGAGGCAAGCGACACCTAGCCAACACCGTCCGCTGACTTAGGGCCCTTAGGGGGGAGTGCAAGGACCGCGCAAGATAGCGAAGACAGTAGCGATTACCTACAGGGCAACCATAAGCTTTAAGCATAACCCCAAAAGAGATGTTGGATGTGGGGTCTGGGTGGTGCGGGGCGTGGATGTGTGGTGGTTAATGGACAGGTTCGCAGCAAAAGCAGTACGAATATAGACCTCCAAGTTCACCAGGACATCTGTCGTGCTGCGGCACTTGCGGAAACCAAATTGAGAAGGGGAGAGGAGGTGATGGTGTTCCAGGAACCACATCAGAATCCAGTCCTCAGGGACTGACGACGACTACACGTGCTCGGAGGGAGATGGCGAAGCACTCGGAGCCCGCCGCCGTAGCAATGTTCCCAGCAACTACGTAGCAACGGATTCCAGTGTCTCAACAGGAGAAGCCGAACGAGAGCACACACGACGGCCGTTAGGAGAGCGATGGACATCCGCCTGCACCGACAGGCGGCGGGGAGAGCCGATAGATGGAGGAAGAGGATGGGAAGGAGGATCGGAGGGGGACGAGGAAGAAGACACAGGAGACATGACAGACGGGGTGAAAGAAGGGGAACCCCAGACAGAGGACCAGGAGGGGGACCCTCGGGAAAGAACTCAAAGGAACAGAGGAGGGGGCAGTGGGCGTATCAGGGTCCAAGGCCCGGAAACGGTTGAGAGTCTGAGGAAGGGGGGAAGGACGAGGAGAGGAAGAGCGCAACACGCGAGCATAAGAGATGTTAGTATAAGGCGGGAGCCGGCGAACCTGGCGCCTTCAGGAAAAGACAAACGCTCCCGGTGCTTCAGGTTAAGGACGGCCGCCTCAAGCTTGTAATGCAGTTGAGCTCAGCAGCTCGTATGCCCAAACCTCCAGCTGTCTAACTCCCAGGGTACATATTTACTGCTAGGTAACAGGTGGGGGGAAAAATCAGGGTGAAAGAAGCTCTGTTCAATTGTACCTGCCGGGAATCGAACCCTGGGCCCTTAGGGGAGTTTACCTACAGCTTTAAGCACAGAGTTGGATGTGGGGTCTGGGT